AGAATTTGGAACCAATAATGCATGCTCACTGGGTTTCCTTGATATCAGCATAGATGAAGACAAATGACGTGTGGTGTGAATGCCAATCACTAGACATTCATGAATAAAGACAACTTCCGGGCAACCGAGCGATACCAAGCAGATATCTTCATGGACAAATTGGAAAACAGAGCACTCTAAAAACCCATAGAAGAGTCTAACTTTTACAAACGAAATGTGGATGACATCATATGTGCATAAGATGCTGATATTCTGTTGGAGAAGTTCAATGGAGCTCATCCGAAAATGGAGTTCACCCTGGAAAAGGAATCCACAAATGGTCCCGCATTTCTAGACGTTTTCTTGCTTCATTGATCAGATAGCTCCATCTCAGAAGCATTCACCATAAGGAAACATGGACGGGATAGTACACACACTACCATAGATTCGTCCCGTTGCAATGAAAAAAATTGATTCACTGCTCATTCAATATGGTTAAGCAACTTTATTCTTCGCTCTCTGTCGAATTCAAACTAGGAAGAATACAAATTGTTTTTAAACAGTTAATAATCCATAGGTGTTCCGGATTATTTCGAAAAAAATAGGCGTTGTGGTCTTGGTAACAATAGAATCAGGTTTGTTTTAGCCACAACGTGAATACCAAAACACAAGACTTGACAAAGGCCTTCCAAGAAGGTCGAAACGTTGTCACCGAAATCTTGTGTTTTGGTATTCACCTTGTGGCTAAAACAAACCTGATTCTATTTTTACAAATTGTTTTTCTTCAGAATGGATATCCTGAATCATTTATTCAGAAAAGCATGACATCATATCCACCCAAGACGTCACGAGACACCACAAATAAGAAGCGTGTCTATCTCTCCATCCCATTCAGGTGAAAAACGATCACGAGAATATTGAGTAGACTAATTCAATCTTCCATCAAATTCACCTACTCTGCTGCTAAACCCCTCATTACATTTACGTCCAAACCTATTTTCTTAATGCAGGTTAAGGATAGATTACCCCCGGACGCCACTTCGTTTTATGTTTATCAATTCACCTGTTCCAGTGGAGCAAATTATGTGGGACGAACAGTGAGGCGTCTATCTGGCCGCATCAAGGAGCACCACCCCATTTATTAAACTCAGGGATTGACAAGGACTGGGGCGACGGCAATTAAGAACCATCTGACTGAGTTTAATCGCAAAGTCAGTGTGCTTGAGGCCTTCCGTCCTCTCTGGAGGGTGAAGGGTAGGTTATCCAAAGAGGTCAGATTAAGAATTGTGTCGACCGCCGAGGCGATTACTACCCGTCTCCACAACCTCAGTGGGCTGCACAAAGTAGTCACAATTATCCCCTCTTCTAGAAGGGACTTATTTAAAGGTGTTGGGTCTACCAGGATGTCACATGATTTATTTTTAGGCCTATGTAACTTATTCCACTTGATATAGTTGTATTCGTTTAGGCCGGGATGAGCACATTTTGCAAATTTTCTTTGTCATTTGCAACCATTTCAACATGTTTTTTTACCTGCTTCACTGTAATTTATTTATCGTGCTATAGATATAACGGACAGTGTGTATCTCACATTTCATGGCTCGATTGGCGCCCAACCATTCAGTTCAGTGCCATTCAAGAATGAGCTCACAGAGGGAGGCAGTTCCAATCAAGAGCACCGCACGCAGACCCCGATATCCCATGCATTCGCATGGACAAAAGAAGTTCAAAGCAGTTTTTAAATCAAACATTTTGTTACCTGTCCGACAAGGGTAGATGGAAACAACCTTTTGTTTGAATTTCGAAATGATCGGCAGTCTCAGTGGGGCCTTCTCGCAAATTCAAACCGAAAACTGCTGTTGTCTTCCGCTAATCGCCACAACCGAACAACCATAAAACTGAGCCATATAAGTTGCTTCGGTGTATTTCAGTGGACTCTGATATAAACCTGCCAGGGCAGTCAGCTTGCATGCTGATTGGTGGCTTACATATGCAGCAGAGAATGATCGAACTTTGAAAGGATCAGCTTTTGGGGAAAAACTTCACTCAAATGAGTTGGTCGCAAATTTTACATTCAAATTTCCGAAGCGGTTACACAGCACTCAGATAGGCTATATATTTCGTGACATTTATTCCTAATGGAGGCTATAGTACCGAGCGGTCGGAATTAGTTGACATCACATAATGGTGATTACTTTCAGTAGTTTCGAGATTTTTGAAAGCATGGTGAAATCAACTGAAAGAAAAACATTCGGAGTATTTCTCGAGTCAACGATGCATGAATCAATTGTAAACTATAGTGTTAACACAATATATCACGGGGCTTTCGACATTCTTGTGTTCCACATGTGGAAAGTAGCTTTCTGTACTCGCGTAAGTACTATATGCAATATACCACATCGATTGATGTGATATTTTTAATTTGTTCTTTTCACTCGACGGTATGTCTATCATTCAGTTTGTTCATTTCAAATTCTCATTTAGACTCCATGTGTTTCGTGAAATGGTTGATTTATGTGGAAAGGGCAGACTTTTTTCAAATCGTATCGACTGTGACGCTAACAGATTAGAAACGGACTATCCAAAGTCCGATTTTGTGGGTACAACTGCGAATATCAAAGCAATTCATCTCATGAACTATGCCCGTTCAGATCAGTTCTGTGTGGACGAAAGAACATTCTGAGTGAACTAAGATTAGAGACACCCACAATCATTTCAAATTGGCAACCCCATTTTTGAGCGCAATCTGAGCGGAGTTTCGGGTGACACTACTGCCCAGCGAACCGTGGCATGTTCATCCTAATCAACGGTTGCAATTTTGTCCCGCGAGATGAGATCAAGCAGTGGTTGCGAGCAGATAAAAGGTGCTACAATGTGAACTGGTGATATAGATAATCAACCACCGGATACATTAAACTGAATAAGGTTTGAGTTAAAACTCACTCACCCCCGCTCTCCGCCTTCGCTTCGCACACAAACGAGCACCGCGGCTGAGTCTGACAAGCTCTACGCATTAGTTATTTTTTTGCGCAGTAAACCCATGCGTTCAGATAGCACAATACACCAAATAACAATGATGTTTATTTGTCGTCTGGGGTTGTTTGTAACAGTTCCATTCAGCGAAATGAGATACCCATTTGTAACTAAGAGAACAATCAATTTTATGAATTTGTCGTGGAACATTCAATTATACAAGTAACTAACCCCTTAATGAGTTTCTTTACTTCATTGTAGGGTTATTCGCAACGATACTTGTAGACCTGCATTCTGTCTGTTGAAATTTTCGAGAGTGCTTACTTCGGTGATGAGTTGCAACCAGTGTTCAGCATGGCTGAACCAACACCAATTTGACAGATGTTTTCGCTATCACTGAGGAATAAAGATAAACACCCCTAGCATGAGACTAGGTAGTAAAAGGAACAGAGGTTGATAAACTACACATTTAATGCGGCCGTTTTCAGCGTTTATTATATACGAATATTGTGGCAAATCGATTCAAAGTATGTGACAGCATGTTAGTCCCGAAGGAAGAGCATATCCTTAGATGTGCAGGTCATATTTCAAGGGATATAGTGATCAACGCCGGATAAGGCATCGCTCAAGCATAAGTCTTTATTAATCAGAACCTACAACGGTTCTCCCCGTTTGAAATTTCGATGAAGAAAACAGTCGAAGCTCTCGAGTGTTCCATAGAGCTATGCATGGAATTTTATAACACCATTGTGCAGACATATAAACGAACTGACGAATAGAGGAGCATCATTAAAATCTTTTTGTATAAATATACCGAGAGAAGAATCACTTGAACGAGAGAAGGCAATCATCACAGGGATGTAATGCCAGATCACAGGTGAACGATGAGCGTAGGATGAAGTGGCAAATAATCATTTTGTCTGCGTCTTTGGTAAGTTGCATAGAACCGGGATGGACACACGCTAATCAGACGGCAGTAGAATGGCATGGTTAGGTGAACGGGTGATTCACATGGATGATGAAAACAGGTATTTAACAGTACTTTACACAGATACACTCAAATGGAAATTAAACATGAGAACATAATTGGGTGCAAAGGTTAGTATGCATAACACAACAAATCCATCAAATTGCATCACTTGAACCACATCCTGAGCCACCGAATACGTGCAACAACCTGCTTCAATCACGTTAGGATTCTGTTCAGAAGTTGCGTATGCTTCGGCTGAGTTTAATGGGACCGGATATAATGAGGACTGATTGTAGCTCGGGATGCGGATATTGGTGTTGATGTCTCCTCCGAACTGAAAGTGTTGTTCGAGGACGTTTCGTAGACTGGCTAAGCAAACATCATCAGTATGACTTAGAGGAAGCGCCAATCCTCAGTGTGACCGGATGAATATGGTACTTTTTGTGGATTTCGACTGGCTGATTGTGCCCCTTTAATCCTACTGGTCAATCTCTGCTACTTCTCGTGATTGGATTGGCTGGTCCATTGTCGCGGTTATCCCCCTTTCGTTCATTGATCGACTTTATATCTTGGACTAACC